TTATATGTCGCAGCTTTTGTAGAAAAAAAAAAAATAATATATATATATATATATATATTTATATGGGAGAATATTAAAGGATCTAGAACAAAGATTTCAATTAATGTAATGTTAAATATTCTCTTCGAGGAAGAAAATATAATTAGGTATACTAAAAGATTCAAATTATAGTAACAACACTATAATATTATATTGAAACAAGAATCAAATAGGAGGAAAACACAGTATTATAATCATATTAAAAAAGGTTCTAATCATTATATATATAATTTTGTAATTTGTTCACAAGAGAATGCATAAAAGTTACCAGTGTACAAGCCTGTAAAAACATGAAGGGAGAAATACACTTATTTGTTATCAGTTATGTGGACTAGATTATAAATAACTTTCACCAGATAATATAAAGGAACCAACCAAGAAAAGAACAATATGTAGACACATAAAAACATGCCTTATCATCAAATATTATAATGAAAGGACTCTAAATCTTTAATATTAAATATAAAACAACCAAAATTTTTAATAATATTCAGTCTTCACCAATATTTTCTGGTAAATATACACACAAAAATAACATTCATATCATTTAATGGAATCATTCTATATAATGTGATCCCCTGTTAAAACAAAAGATCTACAAACATTTATGGGTTGGGAAAACTTATTGATATCTCTTGCAACAGAGGAGTTAGGATGTTGAAACTGGACACTGAACCTTGAAATTATTTAATGATAGTGTCTAGGTAACATATATAGTGTACATGGTGTACTACTCAAGTAGTACAAACTAAAATGGGAAAATTGAAACGATTGCACATTACTGTAAAGCCTGAGAATTTTTTTTAAATATTTTCTTTAAAAATTAAGAAATTTAACTTATAAACTTCATTCTGATGATATCTTACTGACATATATTGATAATAAAGTTGTTTAATTCAATTCTGAATGTAACTCTGTGAAACTGTAAAATGTTTTAATGTGCAGATGAGTCATGCCCGTACATAATTCTGGAACGTGTCTTCAGTTTGTGATGTCACCAATAAAAAGGATTAAGATATAATCTCACAAGATTAGCTATTCTCTATATGCAAACATTTTTAAAATGCATGCTACAAGCCAAGTTAGAGTCACACAGAAGTATGAAAAACAGTCAAGAGGAAGAAACAGTGTACAAAATGGGAGATGAACATAATAGGTGTAGTCCTCGTGCCTGAATGTAGGAGTTCCCACAATGGCTGACGAAGATATCAAGGAATATGAAAGGATGTCAAATCTGATGAGAAGACACCTGGAACAAAGGTGAGTAATCCAATGGGATTAAAAGCGGAACACACGGAAAGAAGCCATACGGGCAATAGAAAAATGAAGATCACAAATCATACATAGGAGTCGATCTGGATCGAGACGAGGATAAAAAGAGGAGTTCCTTCCCCTAGCCATCGATGTCTTGGGTAGAAAGGAAAGATCTGGATAAAGAAGAAGAGAGGGAGAGGAAAAATTTATGAGAAATATCATCAGAAATAAATCTGACCTCTAACATACACAGGCATAGAGAAGAAGGAATTTTGTTTGATGGGAAGGTGAAACGTAGAATATGAGTAAAGTGAGGAAAATGAAGGTAAAGTGAGGGAATAAAAGATCACATTAATATTCCAGGGTCGGAATAGTAGGCAGTCGGGGAGGATGACTAATCCGGAAGGAACATGTGAATATAGTTAGGATAGGCGAGGTAAAAACTCAGCGGTATCGGATAAAAAACAAAGGTATGGGATAAGACTGCCTGATACTTGGTAAGCAAGGAGACCAATGACTCGCAGTCAGAGAGCCAGGTGAGAAATTCCATCACATGAGTTACAGACAATTTGTCAGCAGGAAATCCTGTAAGCAGACTAACAGCAAAAGACTTTCCACTTATGCTGGTATACTTCCATGGAAGATAGCTGTAGAGAATGGGCTAAGAAGGAGGCAACTTAACATGTGAAATTGGATCATCTTGCCAAGGACTGGACAAAAGCCAGACGAGAAGACAGAGGACGAGGAGATTGGGATGTAGAATATGGGATCAAGGTTGATGAAGAGGGGAGGGAGATAGTGGAAGAGGTACAGGTGGTGATAGGAGCAGATGTTATTATCTTGAAAACCAAGGTAGTGCTGGTAAAAGGGTGCAATCATGACTCAGCAAGGAAAGAAGTGGAGAAGACAAATCACCCAATGAAGCAATTGGATTGGAGGGTACACATGAAAGTATTTGTGTGACCAATCCTGGCAGAAAGCATCCTCTGCCAAAGTCTGAGAATGCAGTACAGGTGACCAAAGAAGTGGCAACTTGGTATTGATGCCTGTAGCAAAAGAATTCAATTGAGGAAAACAAAGGTCTCAGAAAATGAGAGGATTTAATTCCCACTTCATTGGATAGATCCAGTCCAGGTATGAAAGATGATTTGCGACAAGATTGAAAGCACTGGCACAGGACATGCGATAAGACTAATGTGATGTGCATGGGCCCAGTATAAGAGATCCAATGTCCAAAAACAGAGGTCTCTAGACCAGGTGTTCCCTTTGTGGTTGATATGTGCTACCACTATAAAGTTGTCCGAATGAACCATCAGCAGACAATGACAGGTGAAAAGAAGGAAGTGTTATAAAGCCTGACTTACCACCAGAAATTTGAGAACATTGATATGCAAGATGGCTTTGTCCACAGATCAATGGCCTGAAGCTTCTTGGTTATTGATCCATGCACCCCAACCTTGAAGGGATGTGTCTGTGAAGAAATGTAGATCTGGATGCGGAAGAGGAAGTTACATGTCCTTCAATGTAAGAGCTTTGTCCAGATCATCTCTCAGGGAAGGAGGAAGGGAGATGGGGGAGGAAAGATAATCCAGAGCAAGATCAATCATCTGTGAAGCACCCATTGCAGGGATCTCATGTGGGCATGACCAAGAGAGACCAGTGCAGTCATGGAGGACCACATCCCCAAAAACCATAGAACCTTGTGAGAAATAAATGACCGAGCCAAGAGGGCATGGTAAACTAAAAGTTCCATAGACCAAAGACATAAAAGAGACAGCAGAACTCGACTGAGATTGATGTTGAAAAACACCCCCAGATGGACAAAATATTGAGTGGGTCAAAGGAACGACATCTCCAATTTTATCAACCAGCCCACCTGAGCTGCCACAGAAAGGAGTTGGTGAGTATGTGTGGCCGATTCCTGTTCAGAAGGAGCCAGTCTTCCATGTAATAATGAAATTGCATCCCCAGAACATTAAGATGATGAGCAAATGCCCATACTATGCAACAAACACATAAGGAACCAATGAAAGTTCAAGGGAAGGACACAAAATTGGTAAGCAACCCCAAGATGAACAAATCAAAGATAAGGTCGAGACTGCTGGACTACCAGGATGTGGAGGTAAGCATTGGAGACATCCACTTTTGTCATCCACAATCCCAGTCGAAATGCCCATTGCAGATTGAGAAAAGACTCCATGGTAAACTTGGGGAGTGAGATGAAGCAGTTGAGGTGAGATAAATCAATAATTGGCCGCCAATCCCTGGTTTTCTTGGGGACCATGAAAAAATGGGAATAAAACCTCTGGAAGGTTGGTAGATAAGTTTGATAGCCTACTGGAAAATCAAATCTCAAACTGCCTCGGACAGACACTGGCATACCACAGGATCTTGAGAAATAGGAAATATAATGGGGCAAGGAGAAAGGTGAGGAGGTGAATGAAACTGGATAACAAAACATTCTGATAGAACCTGTATCCCCCCATTGATGGTCGATGAACGGATGCCACCAAGGAAGAACTTCAGCAGTCCAGCTCACACTGGCTCCAAACCTACAGGTTAGTCACTAGTACTGGTGGCGATGGATGTTATATCTTCAAGAAAATCAACAAAAAGAAGTACCCCAATTAGAAGGAATGGATAATGGTTGGGAGGATGAAGGATGGGAAATGGGAATAGGTGGCATATGAGGCTCTGACTGAGACAAATAGGCAACAATGGGCTTTATGGTTTCTGGGACTGTACCAAAGACATAATGTCTTAGAAAAGAAGCAAGACACAAGTCCCATAGATATGTTCAAGGTAAATTAACCTGAGCCAATACAGCATCTCTACCAATAAGGTCCCAACAACAAAGAAACCACATATGTAACATCAGAGCTGAGGACAAAATGCGAGCTAATGTGGAGGAGAGACTGTGCAGGGTATCCTCAAAAAACCCCTCAGGACTTCTGTGTAGAGCCTCCAAAAGGAGATGTATGGAAGAAAAATACTGTGGAAGGTTGGTTAGGGTAAG